CACTCTCAGCCTAATGAGCAATGCACAGAAATGCTAGGGTAAACGTCACCTGAATAAAGAGAGGAAACGAGCTCTTTTTAGTGTAATGGCAAAGTGAAGGCATGATATAAAGAGGAAGAAGAGGACTTGGACTCAGTTTTTCCTTAAAGCCTTTGTTGGTAATTACGTTAGTGGAGGAATGGAGTGGTGACCCTCCGTTCCACTGCCCCGTATCATCCTAAGCATAGTGGAGAGATGAGGTCATAAGCCGGTTCCCTGCCCTCCATTCTTGCTTCTCCAATGGCACTGAGCTGCTACCAATTGCCAATTCTTACTCTAAAGAAGTCCTCTCCTGTGATGCTTGGAAGAAATGCTGAGGAAAATGGAGCTGGGTGTGAATTTCCAAAAAAGTTGCCCTTCTTGTGACTTTATTCATTGTCTGTTAATTATTTTAGGCCTGTATTAATTAATTAATAAAGCCTTTTATTAAGGATTGCAGGAAAGATGACAGTCATTCTACTCAGACACTACATATAAATGCAATGTTCCTGTTTCCACCAGACTCTCATCTGCCACTAGAGGGGGCTATTGTGCTACTGTCTTGTTTCTGGGCTTCCTAGAAGCATCTCATTGACCACTGGATGAAGGGAGCTGGACCTCTGAGTTGATCTGAAACAGCCAGGGCTCTTCAGAAGTTCTTGAGAGAGGCCTAGAAATGCAAGATGCCAGTCACGCCTTTTTTGCTTGGCCATCTCACCCACCTTGCTCTCTCTCTCGCTCTTCCTCTTCAAACACCACCTTTTCTACTTTCTCCTTCCCAGTCTGTCCAAACATTTCCAAAATCAGTCACTGCCTAGCATGTAACTGATGTCTTAGCTTTCAGGAAAGTGACTCCATTAAAAAAGGGAGACTTTGGAACCCACGTAGGAAGCCCTGAGGGCTGCTCCTGGTTACCTTTCATCCCCTGCTACCTTCATCTTCACTACTTTTCCAGTTCCTCCATCTCACTGTGACCAGCTTGATTTTACTGGATGTGATTATAATATAGTTTAATACCCAGAGTTCACACAATGTGCTAAATTCTAAAAGCAATGACCTAAACTGTGAAGCTATACAAGCTGGCTTTTAAAAATAATACATTCCTTGGGAAGCAGTCACTCTCTTTTGGGAAGGGGGAGAGCATAGATTTATACAGTACATTGTGTGAAGAACTATAAAATAAGATTTGGTTTGGAGGAGTAGAAGCACCCCTCTGCTTTATATCCTCTAGAGCAATACGTGTAGCCCAAACAACCCTTTGCAGGAACATTCTCTCTGTACAAGGCATTCTCTTTTTAGTTCGTTTATTTTTGGAAACTGCCCACCTTAGCGTAGAGCAGTGTTTCTTAACCTTGGCAACTTAAAGATGTGTGGGCTTCAACTCCCAGAACTCCCCAGCCAGCATGCTGGTTGGGGAGTTCTGGGAGTTGAAGTCCACACAACTTCAAGCTGCCAAGGTTGAGAAACACTGGTGTAGAGAGTAAGGATGATGACTTTGGGGAAAATATGCAGGAACCATTACCTAGGCAAAAGGGGCCAAAGCATTTTTAAAGTCCAGAGCCACGAGATAACATTTAGGAAGCAACTCAAGCAGACCGGTCTCTGATTCACTGAAGTATAAGGAGGAGGAGGAGGAGGAGGGACAGCACAATCAGACTTGCAAGATTCTGTTATTATAGCCAATCTCAATAAAAGTACCTTCCTGTGGAGTTGATTGATTTCCTGCTCTGGTCTACCTAGTGGGGTTGACCCCTTGCTTCATCCTCTCAGTCTAAAGGGAACTTCTTTAAAAAATCCCTCTCTGCTGCTGCCACCTTTCTGTCCCATGCCCTGGGAAATTTGCTCACCTTGACCACCTCTTGGTTGATCTGCCTGGGGTCTCTTTCCACCAAATCAATC